TTCATTGAGGTACTATGAGTTAATATTATATCAAAGGTACTAATTGATTACTACTATTTCTTACATATTAGATATGCGAGTCTTCCCTGAAAGGTTGAGGGAAACATTAAGTTGGGGTTTTTGAGATAGTCTTTGCAAATAGTGGAAGAAGCATTGACTGAAATTCATTCCTCTTCATGTTCGCTTTCAACAATGCGTCATGCCCCTCCTTTAAAAGTACCCATGTTGTTTTCGGGTTTTTTTTTGCTTACATCAACTCGCCATAGCGCTCTCCTTCCACACATTCTCCACACTTGTTTTAATTGCTCCCTACGGCAAAGTGCTACGGTAGTGGAGAGGATGGAGGCGTGGCCAGGTGAGAGTGGCATTGATCCCTCACCTCGTCTCTCGCTCTCGCTCACCCACCAGGAGGACACATCTCACGTCCTCATCTCACCTTCGTCCCTAGTCAAAGCTCCTCCAGCGAGTTTTGAGCCGCCGTTTGTTTGTCGGAAGACACTGCGATTTCCCCGATGCGCTTCTCAAGCGCTTCTTAATATTTTTACTTTGATAATTATTCATACTGTATGTGGAGCGCTCTTCATCAATTCGCTAAAGGACGCTTATGGTGTCGAGAGTGTATTGTTTTGGCATCTGACCTGGTTCGTACTTGCGATTAATCGAAAACAAGGCCTTTTCTCCTTCAGTCCTTATTATTCAAGAAGATCAGTTTAATTTGGAAATAGCTCTAGTATTACCTAACCCAAGCACTATTATAATTATTGCACGGAGGTGGAAATGCGAAGTTCGCAGGTCCCAAGAGGGTTTCTGCCCTTTTTTCAATTACTGCATGTGTTCGTGTCCATCCGTCGACATGTTTGTTGAATTTCTGCAATTGAATTCTTGGCGTTTGACTCCATAGGTTGTTTATTATTAGTGTGTTTACTATTTCCAAATAGTTGTGTCCTTCTTCTCAATCCCTGCTTTTCATTGTGTCTTGAAGTGCAAAGTTAATGACTTATTTATTTAGCAAAATTACCCAAGTTTAGGAAACTCTTTGAGGCTAAAGTAGTTTTTCCTCTTTTAAGCTCAGTTTCTTATTTTGTGCAAACTTTGTTCGGAGTTTTTCTTTCCATCATAACATTTAAACTCCCTGCATAATCTGATTATCTTTATCAATGTTCATCCTTTTATTTTTCAGGGGGAGGCTAATCTGTTGCGGAACTTTCTTAATTTCTGGAATGAAATAGTCTTTTCTTTTAAAAAATGATGCCTAGTTTTATAATCTCAGCGAGAAGTTGAATGTTCATGAATTTCCACCTTAATAATTGCATTAGTCTGCTGTCCTAATAGTCCTGGGAGTTCGGTCGTTTTTCCTCATAGTTATGGGCCTTGCGCCTTGATCGCATTAGCCAGGTAGAGGGACAGAGAGAGATGTGCGCACATTCATTTCTGCTTTTCAGAGTCGCAGCAGTCGCGCTGGAGGTGCTACTCGGTCTAATGGATGTAGCTGCGAGTGAGCCGTCAGCGGCAGAATCCGCCCTACGGCGAGTAGTCAACGATTCTGACGACGTGCTGCGTAAATTCAAATGTCCGGAGTGTGGGAAGGCGTTCAAGTTCAAACATCATCTCAAGGAACACATTCGAATTCACTCTGGAGAGAAACCTTTCGAGGTATGTTGACCCGCTGCACCTAACTCTCTGCGCTGACCCTTTATCCAGCGCTCACCTCGAACTGCGCATAAGTTTTGCGGAACGTTTGTTCGACAAGGAGTCGATTAGTGTTAGTGGCAACGCACCTGTCCCACCGTGCTTGTCATCATTTATCACTCGAGCGCATCTTTCCCTCCCTCACATACCTGGCCAACGCCGCAGACACGGGTAACACACACATACACCGACCGACAGCCGGTGTAAAGTGTGTCGTTTCGGACTACATACATATGTTTCGCTACTCTTTCCACAGCGCCAATAGATCATTTCATGTGGACAAATGGTTTTGGGGATTACTTATACCTTGCTGGTTTGAGGAAAATGATTGAGTTAGGTGTGGAAGACACGGTGAGGAAGAGAATCGATTCTCTTCGCGACTTGTAGATAAGTGAATAACGCACCTGGCGGCACAAATAAGGGTGGCA